AGGGTATTAGATAGTACCATTTCAGCTTGGGTGTTTTCCCCTCTGTAGCACTTTGGTGATTAGTTAATGGTGGGTGAGGCTAGATAAGTTAAAAGCCATATTGTGTAGCAGTCCCTGTTGACTGTAAACTGGCTGAGTGGTCACTTTTAATATTTGTGTGACGAAAGCATCTGATGTCAGACAAATGTAGAGAATTGCTTTTAGAATATAAATAAATTTGATGCTAAGTCAGAGTTTAATTAACACTATTTAAATATTTGATGTTAAGGATGTTTTCCTCCTAAGGAGTTTCAGATGCTGTATGTAATGCAGTTTTCTCTTAAATGGTACAACTAGGGATGATGAAAAGAAAATACTTACAAATAACCCTGCTGAACTGAATAACTTAGAATTACACCGTTGGACTCTCTATTTATAATGCAGTGGGTTTGTGGGGGAGTGTGGAGCGAATGTTTATTTATACTTCATTTTATTTTTTTTTATTGTTTTATTATTCATATGTGCATACAAGACTTGGGTCATTTCTCCCCCCTGCCCCCACCCCCTCCCTTACCACCCACTCCGCCCCTCCCTCCCCCCCCCCCCTCAATACCCAGCAGAAACTATTTTGCCCTTATCTCTAATTTTGTTGTAGAGAGAGTATAAGCAATAATAGGAAGGAACAAGTGTTTTTGCTGGTTGAGATAAGGATAGCTATACAGGGAGTTGACTCACATTGATTTCCTGTGTGTGTGTGTTACCTTCTAGGTTAATTCTTTTTGATCTAAACTTTTCTCTAGTTCCTGGTCCCCTTTTCCTATCGGCCTCAGTTGCTTTTAAGATATCTGCTTTAGTTTCTCTGCATTAAGGGCAACAAATGCTAGCTAATTTTTTAGGTGTCTTACCTATCCTCACCCTCCCTTGTGTGATCTCGCTTTTATCATGTGCTCAAAGTCCAATCCCCTTGTTGTGTTTGCCCTTGATCTAATGTCCACATATGAGGGAGAACATACGATTTTTGGTCTTTTGGGCCAGGCTAACCTCACTCAGAATGATGTTCTCCAATTCCATCCATTTACCAGCGAATGATAACATTTCGTTCTTCTTCATGGCTGCATAAAATTCCATTGTGTATAGATACCACATTTTCTTAATCCATTCGTCAGTGGTGGGGCATCTTGGCTGTTTCTATAACTTGGCTATTGTGAATAGTGCCTCAATAAACATGGGTGTGCAGGTGCCTCTGGAGTAACCTGTGTCACAGTCTTTTGGGTATATCCCCAAGAGCGGTATTGCTGGATCAAATGGTAGATCAATGTTGAGCTTTTTAAGTAGTCTCCAAATTTTTTTCCAGAGTGGTCGTACTAGTTTACATTCCCACCAACAGTGTAAGAGGGTTCCTATTTCATTTTATAAGGTAATTTTTTAAGATAATTTTAATAGTATACTTACTAATAAAAGTATAGTAATATATTTTCTCTTTCATCTGTTAAACTATGACCTTTAGTGCCAACCAACATTCTTTACCATCTAATACATTTGGTGGTGTTTTAAAAAATAAATTCGATTAGGAAAATACATTAAATATGAAATTGCTACAGTAAGTCTTTGAAATGGTAAATCTTAGGGGTAGAGTCTTCTTATTCTTTATAGTTATATAGTTATTACGTAAAAGCTCTATTTTACTTCATCCTCCATAATTTATTTTATTTATGTACAAAAAGAAAAAGTGGGAGTTTATAATACCTCTCATTGAAATATTTTGCATTAGGATTGTGAAGCACTCTAGATTGAATGGAATTCTGTATTTCTGTATTTATGTTCAAATTTGCTGTGTAAATAGGAAATATGTTTAACATTAGTATGTTACCAAATTTGGAGTGTCACTCTGCCCAAGGTCTTTATCCTAGGATCCTTGTTCCCCCAGTGGGCCCATTACAGAAGAAGGTTGCCAACAGAGGCAAGAAATATGCAGTGCATTTTTCCTTACAATCTACTTTCTTTTCTAGATTGGCATAATATTTTTTGTTTACACTTGGAACTCAGAGAAAAGTTAGGTAGTTCACTTTAAATCCTTTTTGCACTTCTGCATTTTCAAAGTCTCTAATGCCAGAGAATTTGATGTAACCCTTCTTTGTATGGATAAAGTCTGGAATCTTCTCACCTCAGTGGTAATGTTCAAAATTTCAGTTTGTGGGAATTTTAAAGTATTTTGTGACATCTCATTCCTTAAAAAAGACTGTTTTGTTTGCTTTTCACTCAGGATATTTTACTTTTGATTATAAATTCACTGTAGTTACATTAATTTATGGGGTACAGAGTGATGCTATGATTTATGAACATAATGTGGAATAATTAAGTCAAGCTAGTTATCTGTCATCTCAAATACTTAACACTTGTTTTTAACAAGAACATTTGAAATATACTATTAGCATATTTGAAATGTACAATATATTAACTGCGCTCAACAAGTTATGCGGTAGAACTTTAAAAAATAATTCCTTCAGTTTCACTGTAAGGACTGGTAGAGTGGCTTAAGTGGTCAGAGCACTTGCTTAGCAAGTGTGAGGCCCTGAGTTCAAACCTCAGTACTGCCAAAAAAAATGCACAGTAATTTCACTATGGTTTTGTACCCTCTCACATCATGTCCCTATTCCTCTTATCCACCCCCCACTAGCCTCTATAGCCACAATTTTCTCTTTATGCATTCACTTGTTCTATATTGCACATATAAATGTGAACAAAAAATTTATTTCAGTGCCTGGCTTCATGTAGCAGTGAACTGGAATTCTCCAGTTTTATCCATGTTGTTGCAAATGAAAAGAATTTCCTTTTTAAGACTGAGTATGTATACCACATTTTCTTTGTCCATTCATCTGTTGATGAATTATGAATTGTGCTTTAATGAACATGGAAATTGAGACATGTCTTTGATTTCAAACCTTTTTTGTTATACTGGGGTTTGAGCTCAGGGCCTTGTGTTAGTGAGGCAGGCACTCTTGAGCCATGCCTCCTGCCCACCTTTTGAGTAAGTATACAGAAATGGGATTGTTGGATCTCACTATAATTCTATTCTTAATTTTTCAAGGACCCTCCATATAGTTTCCATAATCATAGGGCTAATTTGCATTCATTTCCATTGGTGTATAAGGGCTCTCTTTTATTCTACTTCCTTGCCAACACTTCATCTTTATAGTAAAAGCCATTCTGACAGGTATGAGATGATTTCTCTTGTGGTATTAATCTGCATTTTCCTAATTATAGTAATGTTGAGAGTTTTTTCATTTATCTTTTGGCCACTTTATATCATTTGAGAAATATCTATTCATGTACTTTGCCCATGTTTTAAGTTGATTTTTTTGTTTTCTAACTGTTCAGTTATTTGAGCTCCTTTTATACTGTAGATATTAAGCCCTTATCAGATGTTGGCCTTGCAAATATCATCTACTTTGTAGACCCTCTGAATATTGCTAATTGTTTCCTTTGGTGTGCAAAAGATTTTTAATTTAATGTAAGCCCATTTGTTACTGTTTGTGTTACCTGGGCTTCTGGGATCAATCCCAGACTAATTGCCAAGACCATGTCACATAGGTTTTTCCATTTTCTTCTAGTAGTTTTACAGTTTCTAGTCTTATATTTTAAGTTTTTAGAAATTCATTTGGAGTTGATTTTTATATATTTTGTTTTGTAGATCTTCTCCCAACCCAGAATTTCATTTGTGGTATTCATGTACAAGTTCTAACAGCCGTTTTAAAGGGGAGACTTGCAAAAGAAGGAAATAGGGGTATAAATAATTCTAGGCTAAAGTTTATAGTAGGATAAATGTAGTTTGGAAGTGATAAAGAATAATAACCCCAGTTTTAGCAATTGCTAAATAATTTTCCTTGTTTTGATTCCCAATCCTGTCTTTTCATAAAAACTGAATGCTATTAAGGTTCTTAGAAACATAGTCCCCATGGTCAAGTAAGAATTATTCTGTTATTGTTTGTTCATTTATCTGTGATTTGGACGAAAGTTAGTAAGTACATTTGTTATAAAAAAATTTTGTCCTTTGAATAGCATTTTAAATCTTAGCATTTATATTCTACAACTTCTTAAAAAAGGATTTGAGATGGAAGGAAGGAATACTTGGAAAGTTTTTCTCTAATGAGGTTTGTCTGAGTGAACACTATTTTAGGTTAAGGCTTAGACCAAAGCTATGACCAAAGGTAAATAGCAAAAGCTTAGATTCCACATTCATGTCGAATAGTAGGATTTTATAGTGACTTGGATATGTGGAATAAAATTTTGTGTAGAATCAGAGATAACACTAAATTTTTGTACTATGGAATTTCAATGTAGTAATGCTCACTGTGATAAGTTAGCCATGATAGAGAATTTTCTATGGGGAAGGGAATACTTCTGCCTTGGGATATTTTCTTTGAATTTAGAAATTAAAATTCTAGACATACAGGACTTGACTGATTAATCTTTGGTTAAGTATAGCTAAATCATGTTTGCAGAACTGACACATAATTTTTTTTAATGTACTGGAGATTGAGTTCAGGGCCTCTTACTTGCTAAGCAGGCACTCTACAACTTGAGCCACACTCCCATTCATGCTTACATAAGTGGTAAATTTCAAATGCACTATTATGTGTAATTGTATTATTCCTTGCTACAAAAATGTCTGCACCTTAGTTTTCGGAGTTTGAAAACCAGAGTATAATTTACATTATACTACTACTTATTTAATGTAATAAATCATTTGTGCAGATTATATTTTTATTTTAGCCTTTTCAAATATTTCAAGTATTTATATAAAGCTTCACTTTAATTCTCACAATAATTTTCTGCAGTTGAAGTATTATTTTTCAGATATAAAATTAAGACCCTAAGAGATGTGACTTATGTACACACCTGTGAAACAAATGTAGTTCACAGTGTTATGACATCATTTCTTTGTCCTACACTATTGTTTGTGTTATTCTTTGATGTCATGATTTTGTAACTGTTTAACAGCTTGGATGTTGTCTTTTCAGGACATGGCTTTAGTAGCCCCTGAGGCTCCTTCAGAACAAGCTAGGAGAGTTTTCCAAACCTATGATCCAGAAGGTAAAAGATTCTATTAACTCTGCTATGTGTACCACATTGAATTATACAGTGGAAGCTGACAACCTGTAATCATTCTCTTACCACTTAGAATCCTTTGTTGGAAAGATAGGAAATGAATCATTTTAGTCTCTAAATGTTTTCAATACATCTTGAACTAAGTGTCAAATTTAACAAAAGATAGTTGTAGAAATAATTACATGAAAATAAAAGCAAAAGTGTAATAGAAGATTCAAAGAAATGTGATTAAATTGAACTTAATTAAGTCATGAAGACTTCAGGGAAAGACCACACTGGTAAATGAAGCTAAAAGAAGAGAAAGTGATACATCTATAAACATGGGCAGGAGACAGCAATGTTTATTAAGGAGCTCAAAGTATTTTGCCTTGGACGGTAACATATATATGTATCTATACCATATATAATATTTAGGATATCATTGCTAAGTGAAGTGTTGATTAGAGCAGAGATTATTGGAATAACTAAGGAAATTGAATATAGTAATGGGGGGGGGGGGGGGGGGGGGTGGGGGGGGGGGGGAGGGGGGGGGGGGGGGGGGGGGGGGGGGGGGGGGGGGGGGGGGGGGGGGGGGGGGGGGGGGGGGGGGGGGGGGGGGGGGGGGGGGGGGGGGGGGGGGGGGTGGGTGGGGGGGGGGTGGGGGGGGGGGGGGGGGGGGGGGGTGGGGGGGGGGGGGGGGGGGGGGGGGGGGGGGCGGGGGCTTGATTTACATTTTAAATAAATATATTACAGAATGAGTTAAGCGATTTCCTGTAGCATAGCCTTTTAAAGATTTATTTAAGGCATATATTTTTTCTATTATATTTGGTAGCCTTTTAAATTTTTTCCTTTTATATATGTTATGTATATGAAATACATATATAATATTTCAGTGTAGAGTACACTTTAGTCATGTACCTACTCATACAAATGCTGTTCTAAGTCATATGTGGGGACATCTTTTTCCCTGTACAGATATGAATTATAGTATGAAAGATAAATTCTTTGTGGAATGGAATACACTATAGCATGATTTATGTAGGATAACATGGGTTAAATTAGTATCTTAGAGTTTCTAGTCAGGGCTTTGTATTACAGACGTTAATTAAATTTGAAATGATTGTCTGAGGTATTAATTAGACTTAACGTATAACCACCCAGAACATTCCAAAACCAAAAATACAACTTTATAATCTGTTTTTTTAGTATTCTAGTTATGTCACTATTTTTTAGAAATT